TTTATCGTTTCCTAATTTTCAACAGAACCTCGTTATATTTTCAAAAAATCACATTTCCAGGCCAAATGGTAAAAATAAACCATGCGGCAAAACCGTGCCAGGGTTGCAAATTAGGCTCCGCCCCCGACTCCGCCCATTTTTCCTCCCAGATGGTTCTTCCCACTTCACGCTCTCCCACAGAACAATTGCGAACTGCAAATTAATTTTTGTCTACAGAAAAAAGTTTGGCGCGATCACAATTGCAGGTCTAAAACCATAATTTCAGAATTTTTTATCTGATTTTGTGGAGATTCAAGATGATTCAAATGATTCTTAAAAAATTATTTAGTGGTTATAGATTCATGTATGGTCGTTGTCCGGAAGAAAAAAATTTCAAAAATGGTCATTTTGAAAGTTTTTTACAAAAAAATCTATCTCTCTTTCAGTTTTTGACATTTCTAGGAGTTCTATAGCTCAAAAAAACCGCAATTATTTTCTCTACATTTTCAATGGATGAATTTTTGATTTGTCTGATAAAACTTTTTTTATAATTCAAAAACCTCATGAAATTGCACAAAATAGCATTTTTGCGTTGTTTTTTGATTACAAAAATTAATTTGCAGTTCGCAATTGTTCTGTGGGAGAGCGTGAAGTGGGAAGAACCATCTGGAAGGAAAAATGGGCGGAGTCGGGGGCGGAGCCTAATTTGCAACCCTGGCACGGTTTTGCCGCATGGTTTATTTTTACCACCTGGTCATGAAAATTCTTCCCACTTTTTGTTTTCCTCCCAGTTGGTGTGCTCTCCGTCGGTCGAGCCTCGTTCGCTTCTCAAAATTGTTTTTTTTTCTTAGAATTTTTATGTAGAATTTTCGTTTATCGTTTCCTAATTTTCAACAGAACCTCGTTATATTTTCAAAAAATCACATTTCCAGGTAATATGCGTTACATCTCCGCTTATCTCCTTGCCGTCCTCGGAGGAAACGCCAACCCACAGGTGATTCTCTTTTTGATTCATGAATAAAAACTGGATTTTTAACGCATAACAGTAATAATACTGAAAGATATTTTTTCAGGCTGATGACATCAAAAACATCTTAAGCGCTGTTGGAGTTGATGCTAATGCCGAATCCGTCAACCTTGTTGTCTCCGGATTTAAAGGAAAGAACATTGAGGAACTCATTGCTGCAGGATCAGCAAAGCTTGCTACCGTAAGTTACTATCCGGGAAGGAACGATTTCTTTTTAACAAGCTGGTTGAAAAATGTCGAACTCTAGCGGAAGCTTAGAAATTTTCGAAAGTGCCGTTTTTGTCGATAGATGGAGTCGGCTGTTGAGTTCAGTCGACTCATTGGATTTTGTTTACTAGAACTAGTTTTTGTGCTACTCCTAGGAAGAGCTACTGGGAACTAATTTTTCTGAGACTCGTGATAACTTTTCAGATTTCTGGAGGAGTCGGAGCCGCCTCGTCTGCTGCCCCAGCTGTCGGAGGAGCTGCGCCAGCCGCTGACAGCAAGCCAGCCAAGAAGGAAGAGCCAAAGGAGGAATCTGACGACGATATGGGATTCGGTCTTTTCGACTAAAGATTTTGGATGTTAATAAATTGTTAGTGTTTTCTCATGTTCCTCTCATACATTTAACAATTCAATAACTCTTATTGAGTGAAACTCATTACAAAAAAGTTGGAATACACTTCATCTTTATTAATAAGATTATCCATCATATTTTCACTAAGGTCTTCATAATTCGTGCTCCTGTAAATATCTATATTCAAATTGTTCATTTCAATTCATGTTTATCATAATGAACTCGTTTTCATGTCATATAAAATCCATCTTGTCACTTCCAACTCACCATTTTACGTATTCAAGCCACTCGAAATTCCAAATCATCAAGGTCATCAGACCTTCACGTGGTGACCGCTTTACAGTAGACACTGGAGGAATCAGTAGAGGCACACAAACATCAGGCATGACTCTGCGCAACCAAAAGGGGTGAGTTGGATTATCGGAAAACGGAAAATAAGCCGGAAATCTTTAAACTTTCAGCGATGTGTCTTCATCTATCCACAAAAACCTATCTCCATCCTTCTCTACAAGACTGAATACTTCAAAATCTGCACCGTTTGCTATCATGTCTGTTGAATTGCCACCGTATGTGCAGAATTCGTCTTTTTTCTGAAAAATTTGCCAGTTTCAGGGGTCTTCCTACAATCACAAACCCTGTTTTCAACGAATTTTCCCCACCTGCCCACATTCCATTCTCTGGGTTCAAACAACATGTTGTTAATACCGTATCCCACAACAACCAAAACGGCAGTGTTCAAAAGAACAATCATCAAAATCAGAAGTCAGAAAAATCGAGATATGTGACTCCTAAAAAAGAAGTTAACCGTAATCCAACAGGTGGGAATTTCAGCTGTATGGAACCCTCTTCAATACAATAAACTTTAGGCAACGGAGCCACACCAAACACATGTCAAAACAGCAACAACACAAAAAGTATGCAACCGTTCCAATGGGTCAGTCCTTTGCCGTTCGCAATGAACTCAGTTCCCATTCGTGGAATCAAGAACGAACAAGGCATTGTCAAGTATCCACTTCTTCTGTGCTCACAAGAGGGAACTCTGATGATATCGATGGCTGCTGGTGTGATTGTTGAGCTGTGTCTTGATCGTAGTTTTCGTGTCGTTTGCAACACTGACTTCATGGCATATGTGAATTCGAATGGCTCTGTATCCAGCATTCTTCACAAGTACGCGAAAATCGTTCATGGAAAGGAGCATGTTCATTGCAAATTCCTGAATTCGAACGACCGAATGGCTGTGCTTGGTCCAGAAGGAATTCTGTTTAGTATGGATTCTCTAACAGAAGCGTATCTATTGAGCAGTGCTCATGAGTCAGGACCTTCTGCAAGCGCTCTGGAGAAGCCAGAATTCCCTATTCAAAACATGGATTATACAATCCAGCAAATGTATTTAGAATCTAATATTGGAGCTGCGGTATAGTTTACTGATTGATTACTGTAAATCATTATCTTTTTCAGAATAATGAGAAGTGCGATGCAATTATGCAGAAGGCTAAATACGAGAAATATCCAGATGGGACGCTGATTGTGCACATCAACGGGATGCTCTTGAAAAGTAATTCACAAACTGGCGAGGTGACAATCGAGGCCAAGCCGATCAAGTTGAGTGTCAACCCAACGACTCTCACTGCCCAGCTAAGAAGTGCCCACATCGATATGGCGATTCAGGTGATAATAATTTTATCATTTTTAAAAATAATGTTTTTAATTCAGGACAAAGACAAGTGCTATGTGAAACGAGGAGACAAACGAATCCACACTTCTCGTTCTGGAATGGTCGTTTCTGATGGAACTTGTACTATTTCAATGGATCAGTTTGGACGTATCCTCGCCTGCTCATAATGGACCTTTTTGCTGATATACCTTCTCCCCGAAAATGTGAACCACTGTTTTAATGCATCAACTACCTAACCTTTTGCTATTTCCCCAAATAAATTGGGCAATTCATGTGCCACAGAACCCATATCGTGCGGTATCAAAGTTTACATGTAGTTTATTGAAATATTATAATAAAATGAAAACAAATGAATATTATCATAGCACAAGAGATGACGATAAATTTCAGATGGTTATATGGCTGAAAAAATGGGAAAGTTATTAGAACCTTCGAAAATATGCGAAAAGGCTAAAATTTGGAATTTTTTCAGATTCTAGCCTTTGAGCTTTTCTAGCAAGTGAATTCAACTTATCCTACAAGCATTAGAAATCCGGAAGAATGAATTGTGCTGATCTCTGTTGTAGACTTTTACTTTGCAGTATCAAAATTACGTGTAGTTTATTGTTAATATGAAAATATGAAATAAAACAAATGAACAGCATTATAACACAAGATATGACACATATTATGTATATATTTATAGTGATCTGAGACTGGCAACAATATCTAAATTTAGATTTCTCCGGATTGTTGAATACAATAAAATCTCGAGAATTTAACGGCAATTTTCTATGGCAAATTATTGAAGAGAAGCATTTCCGAATCACTTGAATCCTCTTCGTCTTCTTGTGTTACTTTATAGACGCAAGTCTCTCTTGGCGATATTTTGAGTGGCTGGAAAGATGCCCATGTTTCACAGCCGTATTCTGTCCATCGTTCCGATGATTTTGATGTGAAAATGTCAGTTTGATCGCTGAAAAATGATTGATAAAACACACAAATGAAGCACAAATCTTACCTTCTAGCGAGAACAGTGCTATTAGCCTGTGGAGGTGGTAAATCGAAAAACTCTGGTTTCTTTCTGTCGATAATATAGACTACCAGAAGTGCGGTTGTGGCGGTGAGTGCCAAAAATGAAAAAATAGCGAGAACGGCCATGGCGATGAGTACAGAGGTATTATTTGAATCGAATGAGAAAAGTGCTTCTGGTGAGGACGACGGAGTCAATGTAGTAGTAGTAGTAGTAGTGGTTGTTTTTGATTCATCAACACACCATGGACACACATCAGATGACGCTTGAACTTTGACAGTAGCAGTGAAGCATTGTCCTTGAATCTAAAATTTATAAAATATTCGACAACTGGCTTAATTTTGGAATCAAACCTGCAACGTTTTTTCTACGAATTCTGGTTGGAAATTCAAATTCGATATCTCGTTTTGGAAGACTCTGATGTAGCCAGATCGATCGCAGGTTCTCGCCAATCCGTACACAGGATCAACGGAAATGAATTGAATGGATATCATCCAATCAGCAAGTCTTCCCTTCGGCCAGTGTGTTACTGTTGGTCGAGGAATCCCATTGACGTATTCGAAGCTGGATGAACGGCGTTCGTGATGTGGGACGATGCGCTCGTCAAGAGTCATATAGCTCATCGACGCACAACCATTCGTTTCAGTTCCCCACGAAGTTTCATCAATGGGACAAGCCTTTCTTTCGACTGAAACTACGTTGACGTGCATCCACAATTCGGCATGAACAGTGTTGAGAAGGATCATCAAGAACATGTAAGCGAAGGAAGACATATTGCACAGATTCTGTAAAATTAAAGAACGTAACAATTGGAAGAATAGAACGAACGAACGAACGAGCAAACGAAAGAAACAAAAAAAACGAGGAGTGATGAGTGACGAGGAAAGAGGAGGGGCGGGGCGGTTGTCACCTAATTAGAGCGGGACTCTGGAATTACAAGTCAAGGTGGGTTAGATCTCTATCTTGTCATAACCATGGTCAGATTAACACTATGCAGATGGTGAGGGAGAACAATGGAATTGAGAGAATAGGGGACAGAGTATGGAGAGAAAAATAATTGCTTATAGTTATGAGATGGGGTAAAAATAATAAAATAAGTATTAATTGAGTAGAAACTTTCCAAAAACAACATAAAATTATGTGAAAAACATGAAACAGAAAGATAAATTCATCGAAATTCGTTTTTCGGTGGGTTACTGTAAAATTAAAGGCGCATGCCCAATTTTTCTAAATGGTTCTGCACGCTTAGAGGCACTGTAAGAAATCTAATAAATATTTCAAATTTGAGTCAATTCATTTCGTCCCTGTAGGAAATATCATTTAGTGGTCAACAGGCAAAATAATTTTGGTATTATGATGAAAGTTAAATCAGTTAACCGCTTTTTGATATCCTTAACAGGAACCTAGATAAATTGGCTCAAAGTGGAGGGACATTTGATTAGATTTTATGGATATTCAAACTACTTTAACAACTATACAATGCGTATGTAATTCTAGTAAAGTGTGAGTCGGAAGTCCTTTATGATGAGATTGTCTTTCTAATTGCTATAACGGTTGTAAATCACATGAAAGGTTTACAATGCCGCCTGCTGAGAACCATTTTTATGATCGGCCAATAATACTAACAATATTTGAATATTGCTGAAATAAGTCTAGAGAAAAATCATATTAAAACCATGAAAAAAAAATCAGAACCGATTTTTGCAAAAAGTTTATCGTATCTCTTGTGAAGGATTGCCTTATTTGAGAAAGGGTTATAATTATGTCTTATCTAATCTCATTTTTTGAGATTTACCTCATACGTTTTTTTATATTGGAAGAGAATAATAAAAATGGCTTTACTTGGTACAACGAGAAGAAAAGGAATAGTAGAGGGAATTCAGGGAGAAAACACTAAAAACAAAAAATTGAAATGACCAGGTGGGCCAGCTTGAACATCTGGATTTAGCTTGATGCATGACTTTGTTTCAGAATCATCCAAGTGCGCAACATCAAAAAATTAAATTTGAGTTCGCGCTAATTGAAAGCTGCGAATATACGCCCCAGCGCGAAATTCTCGCGAAATAGTGCACGGAGTGGAGAGACTGTTGTCTGGGAAACCCACTTCGCCTTTTCTTTGGATTTTTGAATTCAAAGCTAAATTTAAAATCGAAAATCTTTGAGAAATTGCATTTTTCATTATTTTTTTTATATTGTCGAGTCCCTGAGTTCATATTATCATATTTTGAGATTTCAGTATGCAAAGGAAAGAGAAAGAAGGCCGGAAAAAACTCAAATACGACCCGAATGATGGATTACTGCCTGTAATTAAATTTTAATTTGGTAATTTTGAAGTAAAACTGCATTCTTTCAGGAAATTCGAAAGCATTGTGGCTACCCAGATCACATAATAGAAGAAAGCTCTCCTCGAGGTGGCAGGTGAATTCTAAATAGAGATAAATTTAATTTTTCAGGTTCTTCGAAAAGAAAAAAACAAGTTGAAGAAGAATGGAAATGGGTTGAAGCTCAATTATGTGGAATGTGCTCTGTAAGCTTTTTTGATTTTTTTACAAAAACTATATCGTTTTATCCAGGCCGGAGGAGACATATTGTGCTGTGAAGGTTGTCCCGCTTCCTTCCATCTCTCCTGTGTCGCTTTTGAATCAACAGACGTTCCCGATGAATCTTATTACTGCAATCGATGCGAAAATCTGCCAAAAGATGCTAACCTCTTCCCTCCAGAAAAATGTGCACCGGTTGTGAGTGCACAGCATCGAGTTGAACACGAAAATGAAAGAAATCGAGAAGCTATTGAGTACTATTACAACACTTTGAAGCAAAAAGAACATGCGACTCTTCTAGAACAAATTTCAAACGGAGAAGTTTTTTTTGGACCATCCACCGAAAGACAAACTTATAATGATATTGCTTTTGACGAGCTTCTCATGCAATCCATGCCAAAAGCTAATGCACAAAATGTAAGATAAATTAAATTAGTTGTTTTATATTCATCGAAATCACAGAACATTGTTCCTTCCGAGTTTCTTCTGGGAAGAGAATTTTATCCGAATGACTCAATGGAAGTAAAAAGAGCTCCAATCACGGGCGAGACTTGTGCCGAGTGCAATCTGTAGGTTAAAAAAACATTTAAAAAAAACAAAAGTTTAAAAATGCCAGAAAAGATGACTGGACAGCCATGCTGAACTGTGATTTTTGTAATCTAATTTGGCACCAAAAATGTGTATGTCCTCCACTGCTCAACATTCCTCGAATGAATTATTGGATGTGCCCCAGGCATACAGAAGTCGTCATCGACTGTCTGTTGCTTGGAGAAATAGCTGACAGATATGAGAGAGACAAGCTGTACCGGAAATACGCAGAAGATGAACCATTTTTTGAGATATTTGAAAAGTTCTGTATCGCAACTGAGCCATTACGTTTGGAGGCAAAGATCAGTGGTCAGTTGAATAAATTGTTTCATTTTCTACAAGTTTTCTTTTTTTTCAGATGATTCTGAAATGGATGTGATCTATCCGGAATCGGATGATGATTCATTTCCATCAGATATTCTTCCATCACTGCCCATCAGTAGAAAAACAAGCTCGCGTAAAGGTGGCCGGGGGAAGAAGAAAAACAACAACGAATATCTAAACTCTGTTTATACATTGAGAACGATATCTGATAAACTACCTAAAAATCTTCAAAGGCATCTCCAAGTGAGCGGAAAGACGGACAGTTGGACGAGTTGGATAAACAAAGAAGTGTAAAGTTTACAAAAGAAGAGCTCACCATGTCCATTTTGCCTCGGGATTGTAAGTTTTTTCAGACAAAGATTCAAATATCACAAATCATGATTTTGTAGTTGAACGTCGAAAGGAGTACTTGACTCAGAAGATGCTAGGGACGGATATAGATTTTTCAACGTCCTTTTTCACTAGACACGCAGCAATGATAACCAGAAGTCATCATTTTTATAGCAACTTCTCAGAAAAAGGTATGCTTTTAAATAAAAAATTGCTGATTAAGGTGGTTTTCAGAACTGATAAAACTGATGCGACGAGATTTGGATCCAATCGAAACTGTGAGAGGTGGCGGAATTCAATGTATAGTAAGCGTGGCCGAGAAGACGTATCGGAAAAAGCTGAAAGCCGACGTTGAGCTACTTGTTCAATTGATTGGTTTTGGAAACGAACATCAGAATCGAAAGTTCAATTCGTTCCGCACGGAAGCATTCTTCAGACGATGTGCACCTCCACCAAGTGCGAAGAACGTTCTAAATCAGAAAACACTGCGCGAGGTTGCACTGAATTCGCAAAAAGAGGCACTGGAAATATCGAAAGTCTACAGATATCATCCGATCCCCGATCAACTTGAAAACTTTGTTCTTCTAGCGTATAACACGCATTTCGAGTCTGCGCAGGAACGCGATTCGTATTTTCCTTCAAGTTTGACAATGTGGTCGAAAGAACCCATCGCGGCACTTCTTGCAAAATGGACTGAGAAAGATGTAGACGTCAGGGATATCGAGAAGTCTTCAACACCTGATTCTGTTGCCGATTCTTCGATTGTGGGAGACTCGATTGCCGAGGAAAACTCACGCTCTCCAGAAGATAATTCTAATCAACCAGACAAAGAGAAGCCAGTTGATGTAATAGATATTCCATCAAGATCTGAAACACCCGTCGTGGTAGATCCCGTCATAGTAAATCCTGAAGACAAAGTAGAAGAAGAAGAATCAAAAGAGAAAGAAAAAGAAAAAGACGAAGAGAGAACCATCACACCAGTCTACGAAAATGACACCGGACCTCTAGAGGATATCATAGGTAATCAATATTCAAATTTTCTAGAATAGAACCTCCTGATGTTACAGAAAGTACATATGAAATGATAGATAGATTGGCTCTTGGAGGCTTCAAGGAGATAAAAAAACCTGCATTATTCGAGAAATGTGGCAGTTTCGATGCTCTGGAATTGCTAGGACCGACCAAATTTTTCGGCTCAGATAATATGCGGAAATGCAAAAGTACAACGAATCTGTTATATGTTCCTGACTGGAATAGGCTTCATGTTAGTTTTTACTAGCAAAGAAAACAAGAAAAGTAAAAATATTATTTCAGGACAACATTCAAAGTGTGCTTTATCGGGATATCAATGAACCATACTCTGAACATAGCTATGCAATGATTGGTTTAAACAAACCGTTCGATACAATGCCTGATTTCCAAAGCATGCCCTTCTCAATAGAGGACTACTACCCTGACGAAGAATCCATCAAGGATACTGAAGAATCCATCCGAGACGATGATTCCATAAGAGAGAGCCCGTCTCCCTCAGAATTCCTATCTCCGAAACCCCCTGACACGGATGCTTATGAAAATTTTGTGGATATTTCTAAAAAGCGGGGAAGACCGAAAGGCTCAAAGAACCGAACAGATGGCGAAGGCTCTAAAAGTAGAAGAAGTTCAGTTGGATCTACGTCATCTGTTGGTTCGAGAGGTCGTGGTAGAGGTGGCAGACCAAGAGGAAGCCGTGGTGGAAGAAGAATAGCAGGAGGGGGTGAAAGCTCAGCAGCGAGTAGCATTGATGGAGGTGGTCCTTCGAGAAGAGCTTCGATGGTGCTATCTTCAGATGGCCCAGAATCTCCAGATCCGTCGACACCTACAACTTCGAAAACCGTAGAAGATGAAGTAGAATCAGCTCGTCAGAAGTACGCTAAAATGTTGCTGAGGACCGGGATTGAGAAGGCCAAAGACAACTATTTCAAGTTTGTTTTTTAGTTTTCCTCAAAGATCCATTGAGTTTGTTCCAGGTTTCGAGACGATGCTCTAGAAACATGGACAACTGAGCAGTGGGATGCTCTCCAGAAAAGAGTGTTGGCAGCAAGACTAAGTTCCCTTGTTCCCTTCGAACCTCGATATTTCTTGCCAAGTCAGCGTGTTTTGGCACGGCTGGTTATTGATGATGATCATTTGCCAATTGCTATTCAGAGATGTTTAACGAAATTCGGAACTGCACACGATTGTCACATTCGAACTGATAAGGCGATACGCTCTTTCTGTGCCGTCCTAGCTGATTATCATTGTGACATCATCCGGGAGTATCATTCGGACCAATTCTTTCTTTCTACACTTGCCACCGAGACTGTCATTGTGGACGACGTTGTTGTACGCCGGCCGCGACTGATCGAGCTGGAGGCTGCAGAACGAACAAGAACAAAAGGTAAGGAGAAGTTCACTGTTTTGACATCTTAACCGTTTTTTTTTCAGAACAAAGAGGTCTCCCATCGGGTATGAAATGCAAGTGCCAGAAGTATTCCGATCAGTTGCTATCTCACCAGGAGATAACCGGATTGATCGTCAAAACTGGAATTATAAAACTGAACGACGGAGCACAACTTCGGATCGGATGTTCTACATTCACATTCCACAGAAATTGAACTCTTCTAGATCTCCACAATCGTTACTGATCTTATTTCTCTAACTTCATATTTATAGCACTTTCTAGGTGCTTCTTTTTTTGTCCATTCCTTGTCCCATATCTGAAATTTCTTTTTTTGCTTTCCTGTCTTTCGTGATTCGATCTCCTTAACTGCATTCTCATGATTGTATTGCACCAGTTTCTGTATCCCTGTGGAGACCTAGCTCCCGGCTCGTTTCATTTCATTCCAATATCCCATTTTAGGCGGGGGTTTTGAAATATGTTTGTATATTGTTTTTACATCAATTTTGAACGTATCTAGTGAAGCTTTGTCACTCTGTACTTCTATACTTATCTATAGCCTTCAGAAGTCAAATATACATCTGCGAAATACTTACTTATTTCAAGAGTTTCAAAATATTTGACTCATTCTAAACTATTAGGAGTTGCAAAATGAACGGCGGCTACTATCGAAACTCGCCATACTATCAAGACCCGAATGCTAGTTTCGATCCGTTCGCATCTCCTCAGCCTCACCCGCCACATAGCAACTACTATAGGAATCAGATAGATCCTCAGTCGGTAGATGTATTTGCTGAAGCTCCAAGAAGAAGATCTAGTGGTGAAGTAAGCTAGAAAGTTTGAATTTGAGTAGAAAACTTTGTTATTTCAGTCTAACTCTATTAGTAGAGCGATACGCAATGCTTTGGATCCTGAGTATTATGTACAACCATCTATGGATGTTCTGGCATCCAACAGTTACGACGATTCATCCATTCTGGCAGCAGTTTCATCTACTCATTCGTCGCAAGAAGCGGGAAGTTCACAGCCGGAAGTAACTTCCACGTCTCAAAAACACAAGTTGAAGAAGCCAAAACCTAAATCAGAAAATAATGGATTTGCATCCATCTTCAATACATTATCTTCAAAAACTAAAACCCATGATGATGGTCCGTTATTGCAAGAAGACTTTTTATCACCAGACAACATCAAAGTTAGTATTGATACGATATTTCCTGTAATAGAAGTCCACCCAAATCGTCAACTTTGAGTCAATTTATCTCAATTTCTGTGAAAGATATAAGGCATTTGTCAACTGATAAATTATTCATCATAAATTCATCATTATTTTATTAGTTGTCATGTTTTTGATATCTTTCACATGAATAGAGATAATTGAGCTAAAATTAGACGGTTTGGGTAGGCTTCTAGTAGATACAGTTTTTCGAATTTCTGATTTTCCCAGCGCTACCGCCTCGAACAACGCAAACAACGACCGAAACAAGTTCGAATGGATGATTTCCTGTTTAAAGCGCGAAGAGTTGATAAAGGAGCCAGAGAATTCGGACTGCACACCACTCACGAACCAAAAAGAGGCAGTAAAAAAAAGAGGGATTCGATTGAAATGCTAGAAGTAAAAAAAGCGGATTACGAAAGGGTGAAACAGAAGAAGAGAGACGAAGTGATCGAGAAAAGGAAAGCGGAAGTGGATGAACTGGATCTGTCATTAGCGTTTGGAACACCAAGTCCAGTGAGAAGCTGTCGCAATGTATCAAAAATAACCAAATTCTTCGAAAAAGACGCTGCGAGACCTTCATTTCAATCTCCAAAAAGATCGAGCAATTCGGAATCATATGCAAGCGATAGTTTTTTAAATGACACATATTCTACGCCAATAAAGGAAACTGTCCCTGAAACCTATTCAACGCCAACGTCTTCTAAAATCAGAAAGTGCTCGGAGCGAACCACATTTTTCGATAAAGGACCTTCTACTTCTTCAGCTGCACTTTTCCAATCCCCAGCGAGAAAAATCACAATCAACGATCCGAATTCGTACTACTCCAGCGAAACGGTCCTAGACGACACTTTATGCTCAACTCCAAATAGATCTTCACTTGTGGAAACAGTTCCTTTTCCTTCTTCAAGTCCTGCTAGATCGCAAATGACACCGAAGAGAGTACATCCTGGTGGAAGATCCATCATTGAACTGGTCAAGCCGAATCCGATAAAAAGGAAAGACTCTTCAAAAAAGCAAGATATAGTAAGTTTGAATTTCAAGCTTTGAAATTCAAAAAATAGTATGTTTAATCAAATATAATTTTAGAGACGAGAGCCATTGATGCAAGTGAAACGACAGAAATGCTCCAGCAGTAGCAGAAAGGTTTCAATCAAAAATATAAATCTTCAACTAATGATTCAAATTTCAGCCAGAGTTTGATTATCCATCCTCTCCTATCACTTTGACTGATGATGAAGACATCAAAGTGAAACAAGAACCACCACCACATCGACATGCACTGCGACAGGAGCAGCAGAAGCGACAGGAATTCGGACAACATGTTTCAGCACGAGAAGAAATGATGAGACAACTCGTAGATCAAAAGTTCAAAGATGAGCGAGAAAATGGAGGAATCGAAGCAAGAAGGGCAGAATTGAAAGATGGAGACGTAATTAGGAACAAGGAAATGAGAAAGAATCTGATGCACGGAGCAGCTTGCAAGTGTTGTCGAGGATATTACGATGGATTAGATATGGACGAGCGCGAGAAGAAAGATTATATTGATAAGGTTTTTTTCGTCTGGAAGACGTCTGATAAAGTTCATGATTCCATTCAGATTAGTCGTCATCGATATGTTCATCAACCTCTTCCGGACACTCCTGAACGATATTGGGATTTGACTTTAGGTCCTCGAGAAGAAGATTCTGTACCAGTGATGACCCAAGAGAGAAGATGGGAATCATCCGGGAGAAGGAAGGAGCCCCCTGGAATCACTAATTGGAACTAAATTAAAATTACTCGGTTTATTCTAGATTTCGGTTTTATCATAAATTATTCGGCTATGTTCCCAAATATTCTATTATTCTGGTACAAAAATTGGAGTTGTGAGGTCCCACAGCGAAAACTACAGTAACCTAAAAAATATTTTAATTTTCTGGATTTTTTATCTCGTTTTTTACGCTATTTTTCAGAAAAATTGAAAAACAAGGAAATCGAGAAAATAAATCAGCAAAATAAAACTATTTTTAGGTAAAAAAGACTACACCCGCAGCTCCGATTTTTCTGTACCAGAATAATACCTTGTACAATAATATCCATGTTGATATTCACCTTTTCTAATTCTATAAATTGTTTCTTTTCACTTAATCCGCGCTCTCTCCCATTCGTTTCCAAAATTGGTTGTTGCTGCCGTGTTGTGTTTTTCCCGTTCTTTTTTCCTCTCGTTCCCCCCCCCCCCCCTTCAAACTCCCTCCGCCTATATATACATACATGCTCTCTGTCATAATTCTATGCTCCTTGTGAGGAGAGCCGTGCCGTGTGCTCTCTCTCACTTCGCGCATCAGTGCAACCGCTGCTGCTTTGGCTCTAAATCCGTCGCGTTGATTCGATTAACTCATTTAGAACGATTTGTTTTTTTTTCTAGAGGACCGGAATGACGGGCGGAAGCCGTGATGTAGAGAAGAATGATGCTGAAATTGAGAGTGAGTTTTTTTATATTTCACAAATAGCACCTGTTATGAAAATAAAATCAGGGACTGGAAATACAACTGAAAACAGAAGCTGTGGTGACTCGGAGTCCGAGTGTCAATTCTTTTTTATTTTCTTTTGTCATCGTGCTCCTTTGACTTCAAACTATACACTTCTTCTCGAAAGATCTCTGCAACGCTCAATTCTACTAATGATATCTGAGAAATACACTTCCTTATACGATGCCCTTCCACTTTGACAAATTGAAAACACAAGTTCATTCCGCCCTTTTTATTTTTCTTCCGGAAGAATCTTGCTTCCTCATTCCCCCAGCTCTTCCTCTTCTGAAACCAAAAAATCGGATGTTTTTATTCTGTCCCTCATCACATGTCCATTCATTTCCACCCTCTAATTAGTATGGAGAGCGTCTCTCTCGCTCTCCGCTTTTTAACAAGCCACTCGTGTCTCTCGTCCACTTTCAACCATTTTGACATTTTCTGTTTTTTTCTTTCCACTTCGTCTAACTGCTTTCTTCCTCTTGTTCTTTTCTCATCAAGCATCGGCCAAAGGAAAACCGCTTTATGATTTCCATGACAACGCCGTATTCAGGTGCTCTTCGAGCTCCGGCGGCAGCCACCAAACAACGCAATTAGAGGAAGAAAAAGGAGAAAAAATGGGTTAAGCTGTGGGAAAGGCGTTTTGGACGACGTTTTTGTTTGGGTAATAAAAAATACGACGTCATTGGAAAGAAGAGAACCATATATAGACATTCAGTGAAACTTTCTCAAACTGTTCGTTTGAGGTCTCATAGATTACATGAGTAATTTGGTTCTCTATTTCTGAAAGTTCCGATCTTTCAAATGTTCAGTTAACAGCAGTGTTCACACAATATTTGACCAGCCCTTCGGATTTCGAAATAAACAAACTTGTTCTTTTCCAAATTGTTTCCTTCCGTTTTCAAGTTTGAATGACTCATGTAAGGGTGCATCCAAAAGAAGAATTTTTCGAACTAGCGATGCTGAAGTGTGGCTAGAGCAAACTAGACAGTCCTAACAGAGCCATTTCGCCAGTTTCGTAAAGTTACCATGAAACCTGCAATAGAAGGGTCCCAACTCTGTTAAGTTTGAGCTAGTTTTTCTTATCTCCTGTGCAAGATATCAAAAATGTGTCAACTGATAAAATGTTAATGATGTCATGATTTATCAGTTGACAACTTTTTATATCTTTCACAGGAACAGAGATAATATGGCTCAAAGTGCAAACGTCCTATGGATCCTATGCTTGCACTTTGAGCCAATTTATCCAAGTCCTTGTAAAAAGTATTCGAAAATTGTTAACGGATAAAATGTTTATTATAATATCAAAAACAATTTGTCAGTTGACCACTTTTTGATATATTTGACAGAAACCGGGATGAATTGGCTCAAAGTTAGGGCGCCCTTCTATTACAGGGTTTCTGATAACAAACCGGTTATTAACTCCCAACAAGGGATGATTTCAATTCATCATGCTCAAATTGACCCAAATTAAGTTACATGACAAATTCATCGCCCTTTTCAACTCTTCTTGGCTCATCATCTGTTATTCTGTTCCTATTCTGTCTGCACCCTATACCCCTTTGCATACTCTCTCGTCATTCCTTTCTTGGATAGTGTCTTCTTCTCCCCAGCTCTGCTACTTCTATGACTTGCGCCCGCTGCTTTTCCGCTCGTTCCTCTCCTCTCTGACGTCTTCTTCTGCTTCTTTTCTCCTTCCTTTTTCCCTTCTCAATCTTCCTCTTTTTCCCATTTCTGTCAATCATTCGAAGAAGAAGAAGAAGAAGACCCTCATTCATTTCATTTTTTTTTCTGTCGGTGTGTGCTGCTCGGTTAAGAGTGAGCTCTCTATTCCACGTCTTCTTCTTTTTCTTCTTCGATTCGAATCAATCACTCCACCAAAACGCATTCGTTTTTGGGATTCACCCCGCGGTTCGCAACAGGTTTCTTTTTCAAATTATTAGCGTTATAAATAGAAAAATGGTGGAGTTTCAATAAAAATGATAATTTACAAAGTGTATTTTGATTACATGTACTCAAAAAGGTTGAAATTTTTCATACCAGTTTTCCGGAAATCCATCTGATATCATTATCGTATTTTTCTTTTTAAAAATGTTTTCAAAAAAAAACAAAATATAGCTGGTTATTTGGCACCCTCTAATTACCATTTTCCTGTCACACCACACTCTTTTCCTTCTTCCACTTCTTTCCGTTTTCAGCCGCTTCCAACCAAACCGATATGAAAGCCGAGCAACAACAATCGATTCCACCCGGCTCGGCGACCTTCCCGTCGCAGGTGAGACTCAGAAAACTAGAGAAACCGCTCAACTAACTCTTGATATCCGATTTCATTCTTTTCTCTTTTCTTTTTGTTGAACTTTTCCATATTTCCAGATGCCACGGCCACCACCAAGCACCGAACAAGGAATCACAACGGAATCGGAGCTTGCGAAGAAAGCTCAAATCACTCCGAACGACGTTTTAGCACTTCCGGGAATCACTCAAGGTATCTTGCTCCCTTTGGATTTCAGTTTAAAACATAAATTTAGGATTCTTATGCTCCCCATCTGCGAACATCTATAACATCGAGTTCACCAAGTTCCAAATCCGTGATCTGGACACTGAGCAAGTGCTTTTCGAGATCGCCAAACCGGAGAACGATCAGGAGAATGATGAGTCGCCACAGGAGTCGGCAAGATACGTGCGTTATAGATTTGCTCCAAACTTTTTGAAACTCAAAACGGTCGGAGCAACTGTGGAATTCAAAGTAGGAGACATCCCAATCCATCATTTCCGAATGATCGAACGTCACTTCTTCAAAGATCGCCTTCTGAAGTGTTTTGACTTTGAATTCGGATTCTGTATTCCGAATTCACGAAACAACTGTGAACATATCTATGAGTTCCCTCAACTCTCTCAACAACTCAGTGAGTCATTATTCTAAAAAGTACAATTCAAAAGACTAATCTCTTTTTCAGTGGACGACATGATCAACAATCCAAACGAGACTCGTTCTGACAGCTTCTATTTCGTCGATAACAAACTCGTCATGCACAACAAAGCCGACTACTCATATGATGCATAAATATTTAATACAAAAATGTTCTGGATAATTATTCTGTCGAATAGAAAAAAAACTCCAAATGTGATTAAATTCCAATAATTCCTGTCTAGTTTGTTCCTTCCCCTTCCCCTTCTCATGTTCAATGCATTCCTAAGCTTTTCAGTTCCCCCCTTGTTTCTATATTTTTTCGCTGTCCTGTCACACTCGCTAAAAACACTAATCACACGGAAATCTGTTTTCAATAAAAACTCCAACTTTAACTCATTTTCAATTTCAACTGAAAGATTTTTTCATTAGAGAATGTCCAGCGAGGAGGATACGATTGTACCCATCAAACTTGCGCAAAGATTTATTGTAGGTTTTCAGTACTTTTTGAGGGAGAAAAAGTAATCTCACTAAAACTTTAAAAAAACTGATACTGGCACTCAAGGATATTGTTCTTTTTGAGGGCTTCCGGGAAAATTTGAAATTTAAAGGAAGGAAAAAAATCATTGAAAAAGATTTCAACAGGGGACGAAAAGTTTCCAGGAATCGGCCTTTTTTTAATTTCAAATTTCAAAAAAAATTCAGAAATTCCAAAGTTTGAAATATAAAAAACCTAAAAATTCTGAATCCCCGAGATTCAAACAAATTCAGAAATTCAAAAACTCTCAAAAAAAAACTAAAATTCTAAAATTCAGAAGTTCCGAAATTCTGGAATTCTGGAATGCTGAAGTTCCCAAATTCTGAAAATCTGAAAATCCGAAAATTTTAAAATTCAGAAGTTCTGAAATTCTGAAATCCTTAGATACTGAAATTCAGAAAGTCAAAAATTCTGAAGTCAGAAATTCTGAAATTCTGAAATTCTAAAAATCGGAAGTTCTCTAACTATAAGATTCTGAAAATCTGAAAATCTCAGATTCTCAAATTCAAAAAATCAAGAAAATGTGAAATCTGTAGATTCAAAATTTCAGAAACTCAAAAATTCAGAGAAATCAGAAGTTCAAAAAATCAAAAATTAAAAAATGTTGAAATTCTGAAATTCGGGGAATTCTGGAAATTGTAAATTCAACATTTTAGAAATTCAAATATTCAAAAATTCAGAAATTTAGAAATTCAGAAATTTGAAAAATTCAGGAATTCAGAAATTTTGTTCGGAGTCACCCTTTAAATTCAACATTTGTATCGTATTCTTCAAATCCATCAAATTCCTAAATTCAGCACATCATCGACTTTCATGCTGATCCAGTGACTTGCGTGAGTGCTTCTTCTGGAACTGTTTCCTACGATTCCATCCAATCGCCACGTCATGGTCGCAGTGATCTCATATTGGCTCAAGATGCAATTCATGTGAGAATATCCAGTTTCCGATTCATCTGAAAATATCACGTATTTCAGTGTGTCTCACAGCCTCCTCGTCCGCATGACGTCTCCAAATTGAAGAGAGTTTTCAATAAGGAACTTCTGGAAATTCTAATTCCACTGGATCTTGACACATTTCGAGCAATGAAAAAGTGAAATTCCTAGAAATTGGGAAAAATATTCTAGAAATTTCAGAGAGACATTCGTCAGAAGACTTGGAATGAGAACTGTTTCAAAACCAGTCAACGATTTCATTGCAGCATCGAAAGAGTTTGATTTGGCATTGAAAGAATGTTTGGTGAATTTTAAGAAATCGGAAAATGACGAAACGAAAAAAGGAGTTTTCAATATCAATATTGAATTTCCATCGAAGATTCCAGTTCCAGTCAATCAGCCGGCTGAAAAATTTTCGATTTCTCAAACGGTACCAAAAACTGAAAATACTAATAATTCTGAAATAAAATTTCCAGACATTGACTCCAAAACTGTCGTCTCGAATTCTGGATTTGCACGGATCAAAGTTGGATGGTCAAGAGCAAGTGGATGTTGCTCTCATAATGTGTCCTGATAAATTTTATTCTTGATTCTGACCTATTTCTAAAAATGAAGTTTTCAAATTTGTCACTGTACGAGAAATATTCAAAAATTCTGAAATTCCGCAATTTTGAAATTCTGAAATTCTTTTTAAAAAAACTCAAATTTTCAAGAAATCCAAGAATGCAGAATTTCTGATTTTTTGAGATCCCGAAATTCCTACATTCTGCACTTCTGAGATTCTCAAAATTTGAAATTTCATGATTCTGAGATTCTTGAATTGTTAAATTCTTGAATTCTGAGATTCTGAAATTTAGTAATTCTGAGTTTTTCAAATTCCGAGTTTTGGAGATTCTGAATTTCTAAATTTCTGAAATCCTGAGATTCTCAAATTCAAAACCTCGAAAATGTTGAAATTCAAAAATTCAAAAACTTTGAAATCCAAAAACTCTGAAAATTAAAAAAAAAAGTTTTTATTGATTCCTAAAGTTCTCTCTATCGGTATTGTTCATCATGATCATCCCATTCAAACTCCTCCAAATCATTGAAACTGACACAACAGGACTTCAGAATTCCACTCAAACGCTCGTAATCCGGAATATCTGTGCGTTTTGTGTGTTCCAGAATTTGAGGAAACATTTCGAAATTTCGACCCATTTTTCTGAAATCGAATTTCAAACTACCGTATCTAATAGAAAATAGTCAACTGACAAAATGTTTTTGATATTAAACTAAACATTTCATCAGTTGACAAATTTTTGATATCTTTCACAGGAAGCTAGATAAATTGGCTCGAAGTACAAACCTAGGATAGCATTCTTCCAAATTTTAGAGTGATTACGGAGCATTTACATTTTTCATAATGTTTACCTAGACTGAAAATTTGCCAACAATTGCCGTTTCGCAAAGCAAACTTGATCCTGATCGGCAATATTTTTCCATGGAAGACCTTCGACTAATTCGAGAAGAGAAAAGAATAGACACCAGATATCATCAACGAATCCAGTTTCTTTTCTTTCATGAGCAGCCAATGACACGTATCTTGATGTTCCACGGAATGATGCATACGGACGTTCAGGACGGAATGATCCATCTGGAAGTCGAATTCTACGAGCCATTCCGAAATCCACAATGTACAGAATTCGTTTGTGTTCCCCTATTCCGGCACAAATGTTCGATGGTTTTATGTCTCTGCATTTATCCCTACAGTAATCCTAAGATTCAAAATAAGTTTCAAACCTATGAATATATCCAAGTGTGTGAATCTGTTTCAATCCTTCCAAACACTGAATTCCAACCCTCGCTGTCTGAAATCACTAATATTTATCTTAAATTCGTTGCCCTAGTCTAACCGTTTCCACCGAAAAAGATCTGGTTTTCTGGAACTTTCTAAGCTCTGCAATATTCGATCCCAGTAATTGCATAATTATGAAATTGAAAGCTCCTGTTTCTCCACTGTAGTAAACTTTGGGAATATGAGAGGAATGAGCAAGTTGTACAAGAATATTCAATTCCAAAACTATTCTTCCCGGATCCGTGGATTTTGGTTCCACTTTTACAGCAACAACCAACTTAGATTCTAAATCAACAGCTCGATAAATTTGCCCAAATCCTCCACCTCCGACCATTTTCTCCACTTGAAACGATCGTTTCAATCCGATTATCATTCCAGTTTCCAGAAACGGAGCCGCCATTTTCCCACGTTCCGGATAATATTCAGCGTTTTGTTGGCAATGCAACTGAATAAATTGGTATCAGAAATTATGATTTTTTTTTTGGCTCACTTGATTCATGCTCACAATTGAAAACTTGATCAGGCAACTCAAAAGAATAAGAAATGATGGGAAACGTGGACGAAGAGAAAGAATGTCTAATGATTTCCTGGAAATAGCAGGCGGCGACCGAAATTTCAGATCTCTAAACTGGGCACTTTACATTGTTTGTTGTCCCCACGGGGACTGGGCCGAGCCCGGCAGCAGTGCAACGCCGGGACGACCCTTGGAAAGTCGGAGCAAGCCCCGAGTCTTTCCTAGGTTCCAAAAATCATATAACCTTTATTATACTCATTCGAGTGTATACCGTAGGTTAATACGATAAGAACAGATACTACACTTTGATCTTAGCTAATAATAGTCCGGCAGGTAAAAAACGTAAAAAACCACTGTCGGCCACTTGAAAAAACGGCTGTCAGGCGCCGTGACCTAGGTTTCTCACTGCGCGGGAATTCAAATCCTCGTCCCTCCTAGCAACTTTTTTTTTGAAATTTTTTCGCTTTTAACGCCATTTTTCGGGGATTTCGGATTTTTTCCGAATTTTTTTTTCCGAACATAAAGGAATTCGATAAAATTTCCAGAATTTAAGAAATTTACACTTTCAAAAAAAAATTAAGAAACAGAAAGGAATCCGATAAAATAATCCTGGTACTCGACACTTCAACAACCATATTCAATTCGTAAAGTTCTATTTTCAGGTTTACAGATTTACGATGTTCAGAATTCAAAATTTCAGAGTTTTAGAATTTTAAAGTTTTAGAATTTCAAAATTTCCGAATTTGGGGAAACCTAAAATTCTGTCCCTCTAACTATGAGTCATCAAAAACGGATTTTTATTCGATTTTTTCGCGAAATTTTAAGACATTCTCAAATTTTCCTGCTATTTTTGAAGATTCTTTATCGACTTTTCCAGATTTTTTGTTCGAAACTAGACGGGAC